ATATAACGGAGGTTGATGGACAGCATCGGTCGGCCACAATCAGTGCATTGGCGTAAGAACAAACAAGTTTATATTTGTCGCGCGAGGATACCTTTTCACTTGTTATTTTGTTCATTAAATATAATTTGCTTCTTTTCGAGCCACTTGATTTGATTTATTTACATATTACCTAGTATTGTTTAAAATGTGACATGTTTCTTCTGCCTGCGATTACCGATCCGATTTCGGTTCCGATTACGGTTCCGATAAACCAAATTTAAAAACTCCGCTTACGAATTCGGTTCCAATATAACCACTTCCGCTACATCCCTACTAGACATGTAAGATCCACGTTTATAAAAATGCATTTGCTCTATCTTGATTTTTTCACCTTAAAGCCCGTATTCATATACCCTTAGGTAGACTATGGAAGGAGGGGACCCGTATAACACCCAATCAAATCCAAATGCAAGTTTCATTGCCTTAATAATTTGGTAGTGTATTATATTCCTTAATAAGATTGGTAGGTACTTGATAGATTTCGACTTTGAGGAACTTGAAATTAATTGGATTGACTGACTTTAAAGAATCATGAAAATTCTTTTTTTTTTCTTAATTAAATTAGGTATAGCATTTTTGTTTCTTTTTTGTAATTGTAATTTTTATTCCTTCTTGGTGATTACAAATAAGATGTATTCGATTCGCATTTATAATAAGTATTTCACTATAGCAATATGTAGTTCAATACTCTGTTCTCGAATACTGATTTATCTGACCATACAGAGTGTACTAAGATGTTCAAATTAGCACAGAAATAGGTAGGTATTGGAAATGAAAGGAATTCAAGAATTGATCGAAGTGCTGGAAATAAAATAGAAATAGTGCAGAGGTAAAGGAATTTAAAAAAAAGCAGGACATGGAGCAGGATTAAACACGTTTTTTGGAATAAACCTTTTTCTTAATCCCAAATATTCACGCATTTAGCTCCGAATTTGCAATTAGAGACCATCAAAAAGACATCGGTAATCGATGTTTAAATTTAACAATTCTAAATAGGTAAACAAATGGAGTCATTTTATAGAAACTTTGAAAGGCTTTCCGCCAAATGCATGTGTACAGTGTAATATATACCTATTGCGATTCGAACCAATAAATGATGATTTTCCTATACTTACAGCAATAGTGAAAAGAATCTAACCAAGCAAGTAACTTTCTGCAAATCTACACCAGACTCTAATTTATTATACTCGCACTAATTTCGTTGTAGCTTTGAGTGTGTATATTTTATCAATCAACGGTTGTAGCTAGTAGGGGTAGGTGATTTTAAGTACCTATTCAACTATAAATAAAGGTTGCCTAATTTTGATAATCCACTATACCTATATACCCATAAGCAACTCACTTGATCATTAATTAAACAATCGTATTTTCAATAAAAAATGCAATTTCCTTAATCCATGATGAAATAAATGCAAGCGAGAAAGTTTGACACAGAGCGAATGATGATGTGCGACGTTTCCTGAGTCCTGACACGGAAATATCAATATTATTAATAATAATATTAATAAAGTTCGACCCTGGAAGCTTCGCAACAAAAAGGTTCAACCCCAGAAGATTCGCCTTCCTTCAAAAATGTTCGCCTCGGGACGATTCGCCCCAAGAAGATTCAATCCCGGAAGATTGCCCCAAGAAGCCCAGACCCCTGAAGATTATTCGCCGCCGGAAACTTCGCCCCTAGAAAATCAGATTTTTCCGCAGAATATTCGCCTTCGAGAAGTTTCCATAAGATTATAGCACGCGAAATATTCATATCGCGCTTCCGGATTTTCGTGTCCTAGAAAAATTCCTCCGGAATCGGCGGAATACTTACTCCTACAAGACTTGCCCTATCAAAATTCGCCGAATCAGCAGTACTTAGGTCCCTAATCAGCTCATGTCCATAGCCAAAAGTAGGGGCTAAATCGATTACTTTACTTTAGGAATTACAAAAATGTTAAAAATCTCGCAGTGACAGAAACCTAATAATGTTATGATGATTATAAGCAGAGTGAAAATTACGGTATATGAAACAAGCAAAAACACGACCCGTAGATACTATAACAAAAACACAACGAAAACACTCATAATTTTTTGATTCTATTTTAGATTATAATCCTTTTTATAAGCACCCAAATGAGGGTATTAATTGGACTTTATGGCACAGAACTGTCAAAAATTGCCTAGCAACGATACTGCCACTCGCAAAACTTGCTGTATTCTTTTTCATATAGATCTTTGGATTTATGACGAACCACTTTATTTTGTGCGATTTCGAATTCACGTAATATTTCGTCAGAATAAACGTTTTCCATTTCAGCTACACTCATTTCCATCAGCGAATTTTTTGATAAAAAGTAAACAGTCTCAGGATCCATAGCAACACAAAAAACGCCAACTATCTACACCACTCATATTTGGTTAGCGACCAATTCCTGCAAGAACTAATTCCTTTTAACTTTTTAGAAATTGTGCTAAAATAGAATAAAACGTTGTATGTACCACGGGCATAATCGATTATGGCCCTCGAGAAATTAAAAGCCCTCCTTCGTCGGGCTTTAAACATTCTCTCGTGCCATAATCTTTTGATTATGCCCTTAATACATAAATAACTATTAATTGATGGCCAAATGTAAAAATCCTCACAGAAGTTAAGTGCGAAAATTATGCAGTATAGGTTAAAAAGGGGAAGATTAATGGCAGCTGGCATATAATAATTTTTGCAATGTTAGAAAAGGCATACGTTTCTTGTGTTAACTGCCAAACACCGGCAATTTGACCAGAACAACGATGGGACACTATCATCCAAATAATAGATTCGAAATAAAACAAAATTAGCATAGCATATCAGATTAATCACGGAAAGAGTCCTATTAACTTTAAAGTGGACCGGTTAAACTTGGAAAAAGTTGAGATCAAAATTAGATACCTACCTATACTCGTATCTACAATTTTATGACTGAGAAGCTTCCTAGTTTATATTTGTACGAGGATTGTTTATTTTTGATTCAAAAAAGTCAGCAGTAATTATTGGTTAGTACATAATTTTTTGGATCAAAAATGCATCTTTAGGGCGAGCATGCAAAATAACCACAAAAGTTCGAAAATAAATGAAAAGCTCAAAAGTGCTTTTACTTGTGAAGTCGTTTGATTATAAAAACCTAAACGGTGATTTTTTTTAAATATTAAGTACTTAGTTATTTGCGAACTATCTGCACAAATAGAAAACTATTTTGTCGTGGAAAACTTAAAAAAAAACTTCTGCATGGTTTTCAGACACATGCACCTAAATTCATGCGGGCTGTTGTGAGAACTTTCTGGTTTACTTATATACATTTATTTTATTACGAATTATGGTAGTACACTTAATTTTTTTATTGGCGCTCCATTGGCATTTTACATATAAGATAGGAATAGAGAAAAACCGTAATTTTTAGGTTTAGGTAGGTATAACCGTATAACAAGTCAGTAGGTATAGTTTAGGTATAGGTACTTACTATAGCAAAATATGCCATATAGATGACTGATGCTATACTATGCGAAGTGCGCAAGACAGTTTGACATCAGTTGATGGTACCACGATAGAAATAAATAAGAATACTTATTCTTATTAACCCATTACCAAATATAACATAGGTAAGTGAATATCTAGATATTTAAGTACTAAAATTGTCCGATATTTGAAATTTTGAAAATGCGTCTCCGTCCGTCTCCTGTTTGTCTTTTCCCCTTCAGATTTTATTTTTGTACCCGGTGCATACTTCCATACAGTTGCAATGCAATTAGTGATTAATTTCAAGCATATTGTAAAGATATATTACTTAGGTATGTATACTACCTATACGCTTTACGTAAATATTATGAATGAAATCTACCATGTGATTACTATAGTTAGGATTAGATAAAGGATGTGCAAAAAGCCCAGTAAGGAAATAACGTGAAAGTATAAAATTGGGGTTAGATACGAATGACGTCCATTCACGTACCTACACTTACCATTTCTTAATAAACTTTTAGACTGTTCTGTCAAAAATATTTGTAGACAGTGACGTCAGTCGCAACTTTAATTTATGTAATACTCTCGGCGCTCGTGACACGAAAATAAAATAAATCTCTGAAATAATTTACACTTTTTCAGAGATTAAGTTATTAATAAAGTAATTATAAGATGTTATCTAGATAAGATTTACATATTCATATTTATAATAGAAATTGTTTTAATATATTCACGTTCGCTTCTCTTGATAGTGCAAAGGAAAATTATTACGTCAAATCCGGCGGTTCATATCGTTAATGTTCCTTTTTATGTGCCTATATTAAAGATGAGTTTGATGTCTCTTAAACGAATGGAATTCTTTTGTGGTCTTTGATGATAATATCTCAACAACTGTTTTCGCTGCTGTAAAAAAAAGTGGAACCGCGCGCGCTCTTTTTTCTTCCGAAATATGCGTATACGGATGTCGAATGCTCTACCTCTTGTATGAACGCAAAAAGCAAATCAAAGTGAAATTACAGCACTAATTTGAGCAAATTGATCGGTGATGAATGCAATTTCATGGAATTACAAATCGTTTTGTTATAAGTTCAGGGCATGAGTTGATCGTTCATCAGACGAGTCAGTAGCTGACAACTGCTGATGGATCGGCGGGCGCAACAAGCTGTAGATGGGCAACGCGAGGTGCTGTAAATATCCTGTGTCAACCTACGAGGATGTGATTCGACTTACAATTAAAGACCTCAAATTTTTGTTGAAATTTGGTCATCCAGTTTATGTGTCACGTTTTATTTTTTATTATTTAGATTGTTTGCTTTTGTCGTGCCTTTGTTGATAAAATTATGTTAACAACCCGCTTAACGGTTATACATTTTTTGTTCTTATGTATCTAATAATAAGTAAATATTTGCAGCCGTTATCGACGTTAAACGACTTTTGGGGTGCGTTCGAATTTTACGATTTATATGCTTAAAAAACAGCGTTAACGTACCACCACATTGAACCCTTCCCTCGTCCTTTACTCCTGCTGTCGACGTACTCTACGGAAATGCACCCCATTAAGAGAACAACTACTGTCACCACCGTAATTTTCATAGTGGTCCACCCGCACACACACAGCACACCGTCACAAACGTAAAAAATAAACAATATCACCCAAATTCACTATTTACTTTACTTGGGGGTAAAGTAGGGATTTTTTATTCGTAAAGGACCGAATAATGCCGAATAATTACATGAGGAGGAGTCAGGATAAAGTCCTGACCACCCACATCTGAATCCTTTGTGGCACTGAAGCTCTGAATTCACTTGCACGTGTGGTCCTGTACACGTGGAAATCTACTCCTCCTCTATATAGCGTCCCATCCAATAAGCTGGACCAGACACGCCTCTGACCTGGCCTCTTCCATTAAATAACCCGCCATTGCTCAACAAAAATGTGGACAATGATGACCCGTAATCGGACAGTGGAAATAGATGCTTGATGTCTTTCACATTTTCTGTTAAGTGAATGATTCCGTTTCTTTCTCTCCATTGGGTATACCTAAAGATGATCATTACAATTTTTTCCTTTTTATTTCATCAGAAACCTGACGCATAAAAATTCTCACAGTGGAAGAGCTTGAGAACCTTCTTTAGAAGACGTACAAAAAAGGGGAATCCTCGCGCAATGAATCTTCGAAGTCAAACGTATCTCTTCTAAATTGTTAATGGGATAAGCAACATGCTTCTTCGCACACCCAGCCCCGAACATTTTTGATGCCATTTTAAATAATTAAATGCATTCTACTGCTAGGTAAATAGCTTTGATAATGTTTAATCCTTAATTCCATTAGGATGCCTCTGTGGGAAAGATAATAAAGTTAGTATTTTTGTTTGTTTTCTTTTTTTACTTTATAAGATTCCACGAGATTTCTTGTCTAATTAATGGTCTTTAATAAATAGCAAGCTTTTATCATTTTGTATGTATGCAACTTTATACGTGCAAACTTACATATTTTAAATATTTCATTTAAGATTTTATTATCCTTTTTTATAAAGGTATGCTCGTCGTAGTGCATGCCTATTAGTTCCACATTCCAAGTTTTAGTATACCAGACATGAAAACGTACCTAACACAATTTATACCACACCTACCTTGAGTGGTGATTATAAATTACCATAGGTACATACAACAATCATATACCTACCGAAGTATATGTATAAAGTCGCAACATTGCCATTTTTACCTACTTATACCTACCATACCCTTTTGGATATATGTACACGCAATACGCAGTAGGTACCTAGGTATACCTATACTTTCATTAAACATTCATTCTGTATACCTACCTATAGGTACCTACGTAGCAACTCTGGTCAGAGCAGAGCTTAATCACTTGAACTAGGATAGATCCTGTTGCGCAAAGTGCATTTTTGTTTCATTATCGTTTTGAGAAAATCGTGAAAATAGTTATTTACATATGAGTATGGTAAATCAAGGTTTACGTTAACGAGTGAGATGTATACTGCCGAAGCGTAGCTGAGGCAGGAATTTCGAAACGAGTAACGTTAACTGATTTAACATACAAATAATGTAAAACATTTTATTTCATACTGCTCTTGTTTCTATTAAAATGCCATACAATTTTTGATTAGAACGTGGACGCGTTCAATTGAAAGCAAAAGTCGATCACTTGATTTGTTTGATCTGACAGTAGTTTGACACATTAATACATAGGTTTAGATGGATGTCAATTGATGTTGCTAGGCAACATTTCCAGTCTGGTAAAAATTTTCAGTCTGGTAAAATACGATTTACCAGACTCAAATCAGTCTGGGAAAGCGGCGATTACTAGATAGTATAATGAAATAAAAAATATTATATGCGTGGTATAGGTATAGGTAGGTAATTGCAGGCTATTTCGTATTGAAAGAGAATTATGAACTAGGGCTTAAACAATAATGACCACCCACATCAACAACACCTAAGTACATCAGCCCATTGTCAACAATGTGGTCGAAAAACGTCAGTATTAAAAAGCACATTAAGAATTATGGATACCTAAGTACTTATTGAAAAAATTAGTCAGTATAAGGGTAATTTCTGTACCTATAACTGACATTTAGCTAAAAACTCCAAAAATGATACGAAAACGAACTTACAAATCATTGTAATTATTAGATATGAATAGGCAACCCGATAATAAATCATCATTGTTGCGCCAACGAAGAGATCTATTTGGAAATATTATTTAGGTAACTAATTCAACGGTCGAAATGTATACCTATAGGTTGATGGGTAATCCGAAATAATCTGATAGGTACCTACCGCAAATTCGAGTACTTCTAGATTTCAAGAATTTAAGTAGGTAGGGTAAGTCGGGGGGAGATGGCCATAGTTTTATATCGTGCATGAAAATTTCACTAGAAACTGCAATAAAGAACCGCTCTTGCATGGATATACTTCCTAAAGTATCGGCAATCTACATCCTCAGGTAAAAAGACTTTATTTAAAAAAAATGATTAAAATAAAAATCAAAAACGAAAACAATGCAATTGGCCATCTCTCCCCAACCTATCGGGTAAGATGGCCATACTACTAGGGGAAATATGGCCAGGGTACAAACGACAACGTAAGGTAAGTATTTATTGGTGCTAAAATGAAACATGAAATCATCATTAATTAATTCAAAAAATAAACAGTAAAAACCAGTAGGTAAGGAATAGTTTTGCCCTCTAGGGTTTTTCGCGGTATGCCGAATGTCATGGAAGCCTGTCTGACGGAGGAATTGTTCTGGTTCACAGCTTCGATAGCAAGTATCAAATCATTTTGGCTCCAATTGCCACGGCATCGAACGTGCTTCGGGGTATACGTTCTTGGCATCTACGAAGAACAAAAATAATGCAATTAACTACATGGCCACCACACCCATAGAAAACATGGCCATCTATCCCTTTTGCCTGGGAGAGATGGCCATAGCAGGTTTGCAGCGACATAACTACAGCACCAACCGGAACTATAGGTTAGGATCATCTCTAAAGTTTCTACTTCCACAAAAAAAAATACCTGCAGCATGAAACTAACATGTATCATATGCTATCATATAATGTTTTGTATGTGGTTGAAAAATATTCAAGCCAATGAAACAATCAAAGTTATTTTATACTTACATTGAACAATCGTGGTGCGTAATACACATGCTACACAGCAAACTGATGCCACTAGGATCTATATTACAGCACCAGCAACGCCATCGATCGTTAAACATTGGAATTATTTGAGTGGGCCATCTTCCCCATATGGCCATCTTCCCCCGACTTACTACCTACTATGTACCTATACTTTATTAAACCATTTTTATTACAATGTTAAGTAAACAAAAAATAGGAAAAACGATCAAAATATGGAGTGATCCTAAAAACATAAATCAATATGTTAACCCTTTGACTGTTCCCTTTTACTTCAAATGCCTCATATCACGTTTCATATTCAACGAATTCTTTAAAAATGTGAAGACCTCTTTGTATAATGAGATTGCTTGTTGCGAATGATTGAAATCGATTTTACATAGGTATGTCCTTTATAGGTATCGCAACACACACACAATAGTATCGGTGTTTTTTGATAAATGGGGCTGCATGAGAGTCATACAATTAATAGCATAGGTATGTCTATTTTTTTAGTTCGCGAATTTTACCCACAAAAGGTTCCACTTTATACATTTCTTATAGGTAATCAAACTGACCACCTACATTAACATTTGTAACGTCAGCATTTATTTGTGTAAACTGTTTACAATTTGTCCCGTTGAGTTATGCGGAAGTAACATTTCTGTTGAAAAAGAGTCAAGGTTTCGATAACATTCTACCAAACAAATATTACCCGTGTTAATTTTTATTTTGTCAATTGTAATATAGCAGCCAGCTTTCGTAGGTATTCTTCCCACGTTTGTCAATGAATTAATTATTTTAAATTGTGTTTGTCTTCTCGTTATCTGGATTTGCTTTTGAATTGCACGCTGGAAATCGGTAGTGTTAAGTTACTTCTACAACTTTAGCTAATTCCATGTTTCATTAGAAGAGTAGTCGTCGATTTGATCAGAATTATGTTCAGAGAAGATTCGCGTTTTGGCAGTCTCGTTGAATCATAGAGGATGAGAAAAGTAGTCGTCGCTCTGGTCAGAATGAGGTCTAGATAGATTAGCGTTCGGATTGCCGAGCTTAGAAAATTGCTTAAGTAAATTCCTAGCGATCTCGTTTTTGAAAAATCAGCATTAGTTGTCCAAGTTGAAAAAAGTACGGAGTGAAAAAAGCGTCTTATGTGAATATGAAAAAATCCAAAAGTGTCACCATTGGAGTCACTTAACAAGCGAATGGTCGTTCCGTTCCGTATTCGACGTGAATCGAGTGTAGGTATAGGTACCTATATGTTGTAATCGCCAGTTACAAAAAAATAAAGTTTGTTATAAAAAATGACGCCAAAGGTTAATTGAGTATTTCTCTGTGGGAGTGGAAAAATGTAAATGTGCAGTATCCATTCAATCCAAAGACTTCGTTCGCCAAGTTCCTAGCCATGTGCAATTCTATTCCTTATACAAGAACCTCCAATTATTATTGGTTGACAATGACACGTACCTAAACTACCCACTTACTTACAATAACTAGATAGACGATGTTATAGACCACCTGCATATTTTTCAAATAAAGAGATATGTCGTCTATTTTATTTAAGATAAACTTACCTAGGTACTCTTCGGAAAACTTAAGTAAGTATTAGTAGTATAGGTCTACCATTGAATGAAAGTCATTCAATGCTAGTACCATCTGAAGGCCTACTGTTTGTATCTTTTTCGTGGAGGCTTACTAATACCTATGCATTGCAAAAATTCGAAATTACTGAAGCATAGGAATGGAGACACCGAATAGGGGCGGAGTTTATTTGTCCAATGGACGTATTGCAAAAGCAATCTTCACTATAATTATCAAAGTGTTAAATTATAAGATAAACATATTTCTACTTGGTTTAACCCTTCGGTTTAACCCTTAAATTACCTCTGACTAGTGATTACTTGTCGTAACTTGATACCAACTATTTCAAAAACTAATAAATAATATAAAATATTTATTAATTTATTTAATATTTATGTACCTAATGTATTGAGAATAGAAAGAATTAAAAAATTGGTTTTACCCAAAGATAGGTACATTTATTGATTTTCAAATATACCTTACCTAATCTAATCGCCTTTAAGATTTATACACTTTTCCATGCGATTGAACCACCCTTCAAAGTCTTTT